TAGGAGGCATAAAAGAAAGAAGAAGGAATGGTTTGGGTCCGTTATGGATCTCTAGAAAAAAATGACTTGTATTATTAATCTTAGGATGAGAAGTTATTGTTAAGAGACTTTAAAAGTGTAAATATTATTTTTCATCAGTTCACTCAAAAAAGGTAGTGAAATGACTTAATTCAGGGAACGTGTACAGCCATCGTCAGCGCAGACTCTGGGGCTGTCCTGCTGCAGTGCAGCTCAGCTGGTCACAGGGGTCACAGGCGCCTCCCTGGCAACACTCAAGCTGGGAAGGCCCAGAGGGGAGCTCCGCCCTAACTGTGCTCCCCTCCACAGGTCCGATCTGACCGTCAGGTGTGATGTTTACATAGAGAACCCTGACAATGGAGGCGTGTTCATTGCAGCAAGAGTAAATAAAGGAGGCATTTTGATCCGAAGTGCCAGAGGTATTTTCTTCTGGATTTTTGCAAATGGAACCTACAGAGTTACAGGTGATCTAGGTAAGTTACTTGGATAGCACAAAGCTTACTGTGTAAGCTGGTAAGCTGGTGGGTAGTTACTGTTAGGACATCTAGTTGGGAGAGATTCAACACGTGTAAGAAATAACAATTTGAAAGTAAAGTGTTGATTTAGTAAGTGCAGAGAGAAGCAGCTTGGGACAAGAGGAGATTGCACAGCCTTATGGGATGGGCTGTCATAGGGTGGGAGGGGGGGGGAGGGGGTGGGAGGTGGGATTTGCACAGCAGGTTAAGCTGGTGGTAGTGGGGAGAGGATGCTCGGGAAACACCGTGAATAGCAGCAGGGCTGTACGACCACGGCTCCTCCTGTGCTTGCGGTGTGTAAGGAGTGGGATTGAGAGGCTCAGAATGGAGAAGTCCCACACCCTAGTTTAAGGGGATTCTTTGAGAATGGGTAACTTGAAAACAGCTTACTCTTGTCATTCATCTGAATAGCCATTGCTTCACACAGCCTAGGATTCTTCCCAGCATGGGTGCTTGGAATAAACAAAGGTCTCAACCTATCCTGTGCTCTTTGATAGTGGGGCACACTGCCCTGTTGCCATTAGACCTTTTTGGTGACTTGATTCTCAGCCCACATTAATAAAGAATCTTCTTGCACAGTTTGCTGCCCTTTGCCTCTTCCTGAGATCAAAAGGGCTCACAAATGAAATAAAAAGGAATGAGGGAGTGGGCAGTAAGGACATTAGAGCAGGAATTACATAATCGTAGAATAATTGATCCAGAAGGTGCTTCGCTGATTTTTCCAGTCCAAAACGGAGGACCAGAGAGCTGCATTGGTTTGTCTAAGATCTCAAAATGAGTGAGTGGCAGAACTGGAGCTGGGAATTTAAACTGTATCTCTAGTCCCCATTGCTTTTCGTTTCAAGCTGCCTACCTGACATCTCATCCTGGGTTTTTCTCAGGTATTCAAAGTAATAAATTTCAAAATTATGATTTTCTCTCTCTAATTCTCCATTAACGTCATTCCATGTAACCAAGTAGACTAATTAACTCCTCCGGATTCAGTCCAGCCAGGTGTAAAGCTATACCTGAACTACAAGTGTGAACACGCTGCACTAATGTTGGTTTCTGAGTTTATCTCACCGGTCCTCTTGTGAGCTCCCCTGAAGCACAGGGCTCAGAGGACGATCCCGCTGCATGTCTGTTGAGGCATGCCGGAGTGAAGGGTGTTTTGTTTACCAGCTGCAGACCTGGAAATGAAGGAACCTCATTTTTTGTTAAGGTTACCTTGACTACATACAAATGCCATCTGCAAACTCCCATGGAGTTATATGATTCTGTAATTTAGTTTTCAAAAATGTATTGGTGAGGGCAATCTCTCTGTATTGCAGCTGGATGGATCATCTATGCTTTAGGACATGCTGACGTGACTGCGAAAGAATGGTACACGCTCACCCTAACTGTGAAGGTAAGTGCTGCTGTCAGGAGCGCTGGGCCTTCCCCATTCAGAGGGGCAGAGTGGCGGGAGCAGCGGAAATGGGCAGACGACCCACTTTGAACCCAGCAAACTGCTTTTCCCTGGGGAGATAATGTGTGACCTGACCCGCAGGAGAACTACCAGCAGTTGGCTTCGTCACCCCACTGCTTTTTAGATTTTGTTAAACTAGGGAACGGTTGGTGGGTAAAGTCAATAGTTAAGCTACTTGTTCAAGTTGCTTGAACCAGTGCCAGCTGTGGATTTATAGTTATAAGCAACGTCTTGTACATTTACCTTTGATGTTTGAGAACAGTCTGATTTTCAGTTTTAAGAATGCTTTTTTGCACATTATTTGCATGCAATTTTTTTTTGTCAGAGAAGATAAGAGATTAATTGTATCCTGGAATTCCAAAGATTCTTGTCAAAATCACTGATTGATCACAAGTTACTCAGTCACAAATGTTTAATGTTTGGACAAATTTTACGTGTCTGTCTGTTTTACAGCATATTTGGTGGGATGTAAGAAAGTACTGAGATATACCACGCGCCACAGAAGCTGGTTATATCCACAGATGAGAATTTGCTTGGGAAACCTTTCCTGCACTTCAGACTTTTTCTCTGACTTGCGGGAGTATGTCTTGGGGTGGTTACTCCTGAGGGAAATGACTTTCACCTCCTTACATTAAAGGGTTGTTGTGAGTGTTAAAAAGATGTCCGAGGGTCATTTTCTTGTTCTCAGTGGTTGATTTTCTCTACTCCAGGGTCATTTCGCTTCTGGCATGTTGAATGACGAGTATCTCTGGCAAAACATCCGTGTGAACTTCCCAAAGAATGGCTGGGCTGCCATCGGAACACACTCCTTTGAACTTGCCCAGTTTGACAACTTCTTTGTGGACACACAGCAACAGTAGAACATGCTGTGGGTTTTCTCTTTGGTTTTGGTTCAGAGCCAGTTCTTGTTTTGATGGACCAATAGATGGGCCATAGGAGGCATAAAAGAAAGAAGAAGGAATGGTTTGGATTGATCCTCTGGAAGGATATTTGCGAACCAGAAACAGATGAATCTTTAACACCCCCGATGGGCGCCCTGAGACTCACACTGTACTCTTTCCCTATCCTCAGGAGGGTTTGGCTGCTTTAGCCTTGCGGCCGCAGCCATGACACTGCACTAGCTTTCTTCACGGTACTCGCAGGTGACCATGCAGTTGGCACTAACTCGGCTAGTGTACAGGCGCCTGTTTTTAACACTGGCTGTGGCCTCGTCTCAGCTGCTGAAACGGGAAGCCGAAGGACCCTGGAAGTGCTGCCTTGTGAAAACCACCTCAACAGGTTATAGGGACACTCTAAAAAGGGTTTTTTCTTTTCTTTTAAAGGTGACACTTTTGAATTATAGATGTAGTGATTGGGAAGACTTAAAATTGCCTGGTTAACAAACTACCTCTGATGCTTTTTCTGCAATAAAAATATCAGATTACTAGCAGACTAATCGGGTCTCTGCATTTTTAATTCTTTCAGATCTCACTTTTAGTCTTCTTACCCTTATACTTTTCTGTGAACATATTCTGTGGCTGGAAGGAAGAAAAATCCACTATCCAGAGCTTTACGGGGGTGTAGAGACAAGATGGTAGCAGTCTTCCTGTGCCTCATTTCATGTGCCTTTCCTGGGCTGACGCCCTTACAGCAGTGGTTACAGATGAAAATGGCCACTTACGCCTTGTGTCTCCTTTTGTGTGAAGGAGGGAAGCGCTTAGCTTTTTGGGAATTCATGGAATTGGGTCTTCCTGTAGTATTTTCTGTGATTAGCTGCATTAATTTCATTAAAATACATGTGCTTATACTTAAGTGTAGGTGAGTCTATTTCTCTCGTGATATTTACACATAAGCATTAATATACTTCTTTGAAACAACAAAAAGTAAATCCTGGAATTCTTTATAATAAATATGTGCAACTTCATTGAATTAATTCTACAGCTTGGGAATTTGTAGTGGTTTAACCTAGCCTAAAGAGACAGGAAGGTTTGTCATGCTATTAAATACAGGAAACCAAATATTACAATAAGTCAGATTACAGAGAAAAAATTTAAAGCCAAGCCTAAATGATTTCCAGTTCAGATTCCTACATATTTTTTAAAACTAACTTTATTGAGGTTGCATTTATATACCAAAAAATTACTATTTAAAGTGCGAAAGTTCCATGAGTCTTGATAAATGGACACACCCTTATAACCCAACACTGTGTCCAATATAGTGGCCATTTCTGCCACCAGAAATTTGGCTTGTTCACCTGTACATTCATTTCCTGTCACTTCTCCCTCTCCTTATCTCAGGCAGCCATTGAGCTGACTTTTCTCATTATTGATAGTTTTTTGTTGTTGTTGTTCCAAAACATAGCATCTTACGCTGTGCGCTCTTTTGTGAATGATTTTTTTTAGTCAGCATAATTGCTTTTGAGGTTTGTCTTTGTTGCTGTGCATTTCGGTGATTTGCTCCATATTTTAATATCTATTATATGGCTACACCACAGTGTGTCCCCTCAGATTTTGGTATTACAAAGGAAGCTTTAGGAACACTTGCATAAAAGTCATTATGTGGGTATATATTTTTTCATTTCTTCTGAGTAAATACCAAGAAGTGAAATTCTGCATCTTTGGGGAAGTATATGTTTGGCTTTGTAAGAAAATGCCAAACAATTTTCCGAAATGATTGCATGATTTGATGCTCTCATCTTAATATTTAAGGCTTTTAGTTGCTCTACATTTTCACCAATGCTTCCTATTTTTATGCTTTATAAATCTAAATCCCTTTCTTGGGGGGGGGGGCGGTGTAGTAGTTGCGTTAGTATTGAGCATCTTTTCATGGGCTTATTTGTCATTCATAAGTTTTTTTTTCTGAAATCTGTTCAAATCTTTTGTTCATTTTAAAAGTCAAGTTGTTTGTGATCTTATTGAGTTGCAAGTGCTCCTTATATATTCCAGATGTAAGCTTCATTTCTCAGTATCTGCTTTCTAATTCATTTTCTCCAAGTATGTGTTTTGAAGAGCCCAACATTTAAATTTGGAAATCCAGTATATCATCTTTTTTGTTTGTTTGTTTAAAGATTTATTTATTTATGCTTACAGAACTGTGGTACAGGTCAGAGGTGCAGGAGCATTGAGAGGACTCACCAGAGACAGAGTGGGGAGCAGAACAGGCTGACTGGAAGTACACTGCTGAGGGGAGCAGCAGGCCGGTCAGGAGAAGTCTGTGGTGCCTTGTGGGTCACCTCCGGGGCAGGCGGGGATCGAACTCATGCTGAAGTGGCTTTAGCTTCTTAGTACTGTGTTTTAACCCGCTATGTCACCAGAGGGCCCTATGTCATCATCTTTAAGGTAGGTGTTTTGTGTGTGTCCTAAAAAAACTTTGTCTACCATGTCTTTCTCAAGTGAAATCATTTTGCAAATGTTATGGCTTTACTTGAAAGTAATATAAATAATACACATTATGGCAGATTACATTCTAGATAGGTGACCTACTTAAAAAGGACAGTCTGTCTAACGCTCGGAAGACTATTAGTAGGATTTAAACTATCATGGGGTCTAAACATCCAAGTTACCCTAGAGACAAGATGTAATTTGGAGGCAGGATTTGGAAACCACAATTTTCTACAGTTTGTGTAGGTGGATTCTCCATAACACTTGATTGTCTTGTTATTCTTTTACTTTACTTGAAAGAAAACCTGGTATTCTTTGTATGTTATAGTTATTATGATTTGCTCATATTATGCTGAAAGTAGCCTTTTTGCTTAATTCAAATACTTGGGGAATTTGAAACTGTTAAAATATATTTTCTCATTCCCTCTCCCTTCCTCCCTTCTTTCTCTCTTCCCCACCTCCTCCTCCTTTTTCAGCTTCTCCTGCCTCCTCTTACTTTTCCTCACCTTCCTTCACCAATACAGTTGGACTTGATGTTCTAAAGAACTGATAATTGTTACTCAACTAGGAAAATGCAAACACTGAGGAATTGTGTGTTTTGGGGGTGGGGGAACTTGTCGGCCAAGAAATTTGAAGTAATTTTGATTCAACAGGATATTTATAGTTTTCACATTCACTGCAGGAGGGAAACATTATACAATTAAGTGATTTGAAGAATATACTGAAAGACAGTTTGTTATTTTCTGCATCCAGTTAACAGACTGTATTGATCAGTGGTTTTGAGTTGTGTCTTTAGCTCAATGTGGGGAGCTTTTCCAAGCTGGAGGAAGCGTTTATAGGCAAGGTCCCCTGCTAACTCCTGTGGACTCAGCATTTCTGCTTCCACCTCTTTGGATTTACTGCTCTATTTGGTCACACAGAAACTGTCACAGACCCTCTGAGACAGAGGCAGGGGTACAAGTTCTCTTAATACAAACAACTGATGCTAAAACTTACCTGCAGGTTGATAGCTCTCCTGCGTCCCCACACTCACCTCCGCCTGGCTGGGGTTGCATAATTTCTGACCTGAAGCCTTACACGTCTCCAGGCTGCCTGTGATACTGCTGTTGGAGGTGGGAATCCAGTCAGACTGGGAGGATCTGGGCAGCCTCCACCCTCCTTCCTTTTCCCTACAGCTTGGGAGACTCTAGATAGGAGCAAGGCTCCCTCCTACATGTACCTGCCAGTAGTCCCAGGGCACTGTGCATATCGACTGCAAGGCTGGGTGAGTTCAGGCCAGCCCACAGAGCCTCCAGAAGTCTCTTCTCAGCACTTTCTAGGACAGACACTGATTACTTTGTAATTGAGGCTTACAAAAAAAAAAAAAAAAAAGATACTGTAGTGGTCCATTTTGTGTGTCTAGTTGGCTAGGCTATATTTGTGAAATATTATTCTAGATGTTTCTGTGACAGTTTCTTTCTCTTCCCCTGCCCCCAAGAGATTAACATTTAAAAAATTACCTTCCACCACGTGGGTGGGCCTCTCCCAATCAGTTGAAGGCCTTTTTTTAAAAAAGACAGACCTCCGGGAGAGGAGGGATTCTGCCAGCAGCCGGCCTTGCACGCAGTGCTTCTCTGGCTCTCCCGCTGGCCAGCAAGCCTGAGGATCTGGGACTTGCCAAGCTTCCTCAGTCGCGTGAGCCAGTGCCTTCCAATAAATCTCCCTCTGTGCCTATATCTTGGTGGTCCTGCTTTTCTGGAGAACCCTGAGGGAAACAGGCCCTTCTCATCCACAAGAGCTTTTTGAAATTCCTCAATGAAAGTGGATAAAATCTTCTATTTGGAGTAATGCAATATATTTTCTAATAAAAATGTAACTTAGCAAAAGAATTTTGGCTCTTTTTCACAGAGGATAGTAGAGTTCGTGGGAAGTCTCCAGTCGGCCTCTGGGAATGGCTGCTCCCTGGTCTGCCAAAGCCTTGGTCTGCAACTCCAGCAGGAATGAGCTTGGCTGGCTGGGTCTTGCTGATGTTTAAGTAAAATATGTTTAAAAGTTGACTTTTGAAAATTCCTTTTTCACATGCCCAGAATTTCCTTCCGGAATATTCCTTTTGCTGCTGCTGCTCACGAGCGGAAAGGGCTGTGCTTCCTCTTCAGAAGCGGTGCCAGGAACTCCAGTTCATGTTGCTGCCTGGAATTGAGGCGTTTCGAGCCCGAGTCCAGAGCTGGGAAGTGAGTTGTTTTAGTGAGACACATTGACACTTCAGCTGCAACTGGGGTTCCGTTACTAAGGACAGATGGGACAGTAAATGTTGGGGCAGACAGCTCATAGCCTCTGCCTCAGGGACCTATTTTGTTGATGTTCTTTGAAATCTCGATCTGTCAGAAAGCATTTGGCACTTCAGACCCACATATCCAGTGTATTAAAACTGGCAGACCAGAACTGCTATGGTCTTTAGGGAAACAAAAATTCCCACACATACTTGATGTGAATAGAACGTGTTAGGGCCCCAGTGGAGGCCGGGGTGGGGGTGGGTTCCACATAAAGTGGCACAGCCCTTCATTTTAGAGGGGAAGAAACAAAAACATTTCCAGGTCAGGTGGCCTGAGGGGATATTCAAATGCCAGGCCTGAAGCCATTTTGGGAGCAGGAAGTTGGTGGTCCCAGGGTGTCTTCACACCCCATGCCTGCCATTTCTGTTCCAAAGTCAGAAAGTTACACAGCCCTTATGCACTGTCTCTCTCCATGAGGCTTCAGTTACCAGTACCTGCCTTTGGGGAAGCAGGAACCCAGAGAAAAGCTGCAAATTCTGGCCATACCACTCACACTAGGACTTGGACGGTGAAATGATGGCTTCCATTGTGAGCATCTTGAACTGATAACAGCCTGTGTCTAGTGAGAATTCATTTGTAAGCTCTGTGGAAGCAGGAATCAAGTTTGAATCTACACGCTGCTGTGTCTGTGGTGCCTAGTGTGGTCCTTGATGCATAATCTGTAATACAGGAAGTATTAAATACCCGATGGCTAAGGGGCGTTTACCAGGTGGCAGGCACCATGTTAAGCACTTTGCAAGAGTTTTCTCCTGCTGTCCTC